GGGTCCCTCATCCTTCAACTTCTTTCCAATCCTTCGTAAAAATCCCCCTTTTTACTCATGAACCTAACAAGGAAAACAAAGATAAAAACATATTAATTAAAATAAAATAAAATAAAACTAAAATAAAATCTTATTAAAAATGTGAGTTATGACAATTGCCCCTCTTTTCTTTTCTTTCTGTTAAGAATGAAAAGAAAAGATAAAAATAACTCAAACATTTTTTTTTCAACCTTTTTTTTTTAACTGAGCGAAAAATGATTTTTGAACCAAGCAAGAAACGGTTTTTTTTTTTAATCGAGGGGGAAATGGTTTTTGAGCCAAATAAGAAATGGTTTTTTAAACAAGGGAGAAATGGTTTTTGAACCAAGTAAGAAACGGTTTTTTAACCGGGAGAGAAATGGTTTTTGAACCAAGATGGTTTTTTAACCGAGTAGATATGGTTTTTGAACCAAGCAAGAAATGGTTTTTTAACCGAGTAGAAATGGTTTTTGAACCAAGTAAGAAACAGTTTTTTTTTAACCGAGTAGAAATGGTTTTTGAACCAAGCAAGAAACGGTTTTTTAACCGAGTAGAAATGGTTTTTGAACCAAGCAAGAAACGGTTTTTTAACCGAGTAAGTCAAGTTGTTACGGTCAAACGACCGAACCAGTTGAGCAGAAACAATTTTTTAACCGAGCAAAAAATGGTTTTTTAACCAAGTAAGAAACAGTTTTTTAACCGAGTAAGAAACAGTTTTTTAACCGAGTAGAAATGGTTTTTGAACCACACAAGAAACGGTTTTTTTAACCGAGCAGGAAATGGTTTTTGAGCCAAGCAAGAAACAGTTTTTTTAACTGAGCAAGAAATGGTTTTTGAACCAAGCAAGAAACGATTTTTTTTTTAACTTAGCAAGAAATGGTTTTTGAACCAAGCAAGAAATGGTTTTTTTAACCGAGCAAGAAATGGTTTTTGAACCAAGCAAGAAACGATTTTTTAACTGAGTAAGTCGAGTTGCTACGGTCAAACGACCGAGCTAGTTTTGAGTGGCTACGGTCAAACAACCAAGCCAGTTGAGCAGAAACGATTTTTTAATCGAGCAAAAAATGGTTTTTTAACCAAGTAAGAAACGATTTTTTAACCGAGTAGAAATGGTTTTTGAACCACACAAAAAATGGTTTTTTAATCGAGTAAGTCGAATTGTTATAGTCAAATGACCGAGCTAGTTTTGAGTGGTTACGTCAAACAACCGAGCCAGTTGAGCAGAAATGGTTTTTTAACCGAGCAAAAAAATGGTTTTTTAACCAAGTAACAAACGGTTTTTTAATCGAGTAGAAATGGTTTTTGAACCACATAAGAAACAGTTTTTTAACCGAGTAAAAATGGCTTTTTAACTGAGTTAGTCAAGTTGCTACGGTCAAACGATCGAGCAGGTTTTAAGTGGCAACGGTCAAACGACTGAGCCAGTTGAGCAGAAATGGTTTTTTAACCGAGCAAAAAATGATTTTTTAACCAAGTAAGAAACGGTTTTTTAACCAAGTAGAAATGGTTTTTGGACCACACAAAAAATGGTTTTTTAACCGAGTAAGTAGAGTTGCTACGGTCAAACGATCGAGCTAGTTTTGAGTGGTTACAGTCAAACGACCGAGCCAATTGAGCAGAAACGGTTTTTTAACCGAGCAAAAAAAATGGTTTTTTAACCAAGTAAAAAATGGTTTTTTAATCGAGTAGAAATAGTTTTTGAACCACATAAGAAATGGTTTTTTAACCGAGTAAAAATGACTTTTTAGCCGAGTGAGTCGAGTTGCTACGATCAAATGACCGAACAGGTTGAGCAAAAATGGTTTTTAAACTGAACAAGAAATGGTTTTTTAACCAAGTAAGAAACAGTTTTTTTTAACCGTGCGAAAAATGGTTTTTGAACCAAGTAAGAAACAGTTTTTTAACTGAGTGAGAAATGGTTTTTTAACCAAGTAAGAAATGGTTTTTTAACCGAGCAAGAAAATGGTTTTTAAACCAAGCAAGAAACGATTTTTAAACCAAGTGAGAAAATGGTTTTTTAACCAAGGAAGAGAGGTTAAGAAACTTCCCTGAACATATTGGATGTCCATACTTGGCAGGAGTCAATTGTCCTTCATGTTGTGTATTTATCAATAGGCTCGATGATATGCTTTGCATAAAGTTCAATGACTTGAGAGCATCTCTAGTTCACTGGAGAAAATTCTCAAATCATTGCAGGAGAGGATAAGCACCATGACCATTGAATCAAGCTCTTGCTTTTTTCTGTAACTTTCATTTTTTTTTTTTTAAGATTTGTCAAGAGATTTCAACAATTATATTAACTGAAATAAAGCATCATAGCCAATCAGCATCCCAATCTAAACAAGGAAAAGAAGGCTAGGGCATGGATAATATATATGGATAGAAAGAGATAAATATGATTTTTGAGTTGCACAACTTTTGATGCAACAATTTTAACAAAGCTAGAAGGCATTCAGGCTATAAAATATTTGCTTCAAGAATTTATTTCTTTTGCAACTCCACCAACCCAGTCTTTAGCATATGAGACAATGTCTACTTCCATGTCAAGGTGGACAAATCCAATCTATCTCCTTCCCATGAACTAACCTTCAATGTTTAGAAGACCGATCATAAACCATCGAGTTTTCAGTTATACTAATTGACTTGGACTCACTAGAGGTAGGATTTTTTTTTTTTTTTAATGTTCCTTGACAAAGAAAGTTTCAAACCCTCAAATAGGGACTTTATATAGGCTTGTAATGTGGCTTGGGGTTAGGCTATTATGAAAGAAAGTGTAAGGGCGCAAAATCAATTTTTCCATATATCCTCCTCACATTTCTCTCTTTGCTTCCCCGGTCATTAATGTGGGTTAATAGAAAGAAAATCATTCTGGCTTTTGTAAATTTGAATGATTGCCTTTTTCTAGCTCAAAAAGGGTAAGCAAAGGACAATGTTAACTGTTTGGGATAGAGAAACAATGCCTTTCATCATTGGATCTTCAACTTTCCAAGTCAAGGAAACATTTAGTTTGCTAGGTCACCCTTTTCTTCCCTCTTTTCTTCTCTCTTTTTTTTTCTTTTTCTTTTTTTTTTAATGGAAATTCATGATCAAACTAAGAGCTGTTAAATTCTTTGATAAGGACTTTTTTTGGCTTGTAATGTGGATTTGGCTTAGGTTGTCAAAAAGAAG